TCCGGCGAATTTCTATCGGATTCGACAGGGTGAATTCGACCTGGGGCTTTTGTTTCGTTCTGTTGTTATACCATCATGCTGCTGTCTCGATGATAACATTGATATGTTAGAGAGTAATAAAGATTAAAACAAGAGAAAGAGTGTAACACTTTCTAAGACTCAATCTTCATAAACATATTTTACCCTGCCTCCGGTGTTTTTTGCTTGAGAATAACATATTCTTGTTTAAATATGAGCACACGGTAGGATACAGAATGTTTGGGGAGTCACGTCTAAAAAGAAGTTTGAATATCTCCATCGCACTTTGATTAAATGAGCTAATTTCTTTTTCTGGTGGTAGAGATGAGTTCCAAGTCTTTATGCATAAGAGCAACGCGAACAAATACTGCTTTGAGCTACAGAGTAGCCCATAAGAGATGGTCTGCCACAGGGCGATCTAACTTTGCCTATGGCTGCTGGAGGAAATGTTTTGATTTTCGGTTTAAATTTCCCAAAGAAAAGATCTACTTGAACCATACTCAAATTCAAAATATTCGGTCACTTGGTTTTTTCTATGGAAAAATACAGATTGAAATAAGGAACTAGGGTACATTTTAAATCCAAAAATGGGTTTGCTCACTATTTTAACATGATATCCCGAACCATATGACCGTTCGAGCTGGGCGACGTCTCAAAAGATAGAGTATTCTCTAGGCTACAAAACCTGCCTATTTGATCGCTGAAAACAATTTGTGTAGGCACGCTGCAGGCCAAATTCCACTCAAAACTTGAGAAATAGACCGGTCAGGAAAATTTTATTTTTTGAAGAAGCTTTTGAGCAAAGAAAAAGGTACCATAGCTCAAAGTAATATTTAACCACGTTGATCTTATGAATAAAAACTTGGCATTCACCTCTGTTACTAGCCAAAAACATTAGACCATTTAAGCCCCCCCCTCAGAAACGAACTTTGCTATTTTTCATCCGATTTCAACCAAAATTTCAGAGAATGTTAGTCTTGACTAGAATAGCTTATGGTTAAAATATCTCCCCCAAATCTCGAAGAAATGCACAAGTTCTAGTCAATTCATTACCCTTTACGCGGGCAAGAATTTTGCAATAAGGATACGAGCTAACAAGCTCGGACGGTTTTCAAGTTGTAGAGTACCCTTAGGGCTAGGACTTTACAGGCTCTGATTTTTGAATTTCCCTTTATTTGATTTTTAAAAAACATTTTTCGAAAAATATTCGAATTCGAAGTGCTCGTAGAAATGAAATATCCAAGTATTTTATTTCAGTAAAAGACAAATTTTAAAATCGGAGCCTGTTAAGTCCTAGCCCTACGTGTCTCCTATATAATAAAAAAAAATTATCACTTCCATGTCGAGTCGTTATGGAGAAAAATCTGCCCGCGTAAACTGCACGACGAAAAAACTAATTTTGAGAAAAACGAAAAATAAGTATTAGAAAGCGATTTTTCCGAAAATGACTTGATTTATATATTAGCGTTCAAGACAGGCTATAAATATGTGATCTTAATATTATGTTTTAATAGTCTCATAGTGATTAATATAAAAAAAGACTTTACGAAATACTGATGGAAAGAGAAAGAAGCCTAAAAAGTCAAAAAGCTTTGAAAAAACACCATGAAAATTTCGCGAAAAATGTGATAGTAGAAGCCAAGTTTTAGGCGATAAGCTCGTCAAAATCAATTCATTTTGCAATAAATCATAGATATTCTGAAATAGGAGACTTCGTTGCATCTTCCTATGATAAAACTTCAATTTCGGCTTATTTCTGAAAAATTGGATTCTCTGAGGGGGGCCCCCCTTAATGCAAGAGAGGTGGAGACATTCAAATTATTTTGATAGGTGACTTTCCCGACATCCTGTATATACTTTCGTTCTCTTCTCGGTGAGATAATAAAGTGAAAAAAAAGTCGTTGAAGTTTAGGCAAGAAGAAGTGCTATTAGTGAAAAAGACCCACTAGTTGTCGTGGTGACTGTTGTTGTTGTCGCTGATGTTGTCGTTGTTGATGTTGATGTTGTTGATGTTGTTGTCGTCGCTGATGTTGTTGTTGTTGATGTTGATGTTGTCGTGGTGGTTGTCGTTGTCGATGTTGTCGATGTTGTTGTCGTTGTTGTCGTTGTTGTCGTTGTTGTTGCTGATGTTGATGTTGTGGCTAGAAAGCAAATGCGAAATAGAATGCTTTTCGCGCAGTAATAAAACTCACATGTCGTGGTTGTTGTAGTTCTTTTGGAGTCAAGAAGAACGATGAGCAAAGCAGCAATACCAGCAAGGAGCATCACTAGTGCAAGAATGCAACAAGCACAGCAACATGGGTTACAGCAACAAAGCCATCCAGCGCCCAATCGCCGTCGACGACGTCGTTTCTTTTCCTTCTCCTTTTCCTCGACTTTTTCTTTCCTATTTCTTCTATAAAAAAGTTGCGTCCATATGTGTTTTCCACATGCTTTTGTTGATAGTGTTGTCTCTAAAGGTACGATACAATTCGATCTAAATAAACTAGATGGTGCTCTCAAATTGTTCGTGGAATCAAGCGGTGCATTCAAGGACGAGGATGTGATCTGCATATCGAAGATATCAATAATACATCAAGGTAAATAGCTATAAGACAAAATCTACCTTGGGTGAAGAAACATATATAATGCTTGTCGGTGTTATCGTTCTTGAATACGCATCAACGTCGTTGTTTTGATCTGGTGATATATGTTGCATGATCCAAATAGCTACTGATTTATCAGAAGGAGGTGGAATTGTCTCTGATGTTGTATCAGTTGCCATATCTTCAGCAGTGATAGTTTTTGGTATGTTCTACATATGAAGTAGGAAAGTGCATAGAGAGTGATCGATGTGAAATAATGTTTCTTTCTTACGAATGAATTTTCGTCGACTTCATTGACAGCTTTATGTGTTTGGCTTGTACTCTGCCTTCCATCCTTGTGAAAAGCATTGTGCAATGAAATCTTCTAGAAAAGACAATCATCATATTCAACGAAAATGTCTTTGAACTTTACAATTCGCCTATTTAGTTTATTCCGAGAATAGACGTCCACGAATAATTAGAGGTGAGTAAAAGTAAGACTAGAGGTATACAAGTCACTGTGAAGTAGTTGAACGAAAAACTTGAAATCCAAGATCAAGCGATTCTATTCAAAGCAAAGCGGAAACTATTGAGTTCAGATTTTATAACTATCGAAGCGACATCAATGGTCTTTTTAAAAAAACATTCTGTAACTATTTGTATTTCATCGTGAGTCGATGGGTATACCTATTCCGATTGAGTACACCCACACCCGTTTGTCGTCACAATAAAACAGTTGGATAATGACTTGAAACCGCAATTAAGTTTGCCTACGAGGCAGCGTAGTATGCAATCGCCGAAATCAAAATGACATTATTATGATAGTGTCCTCACACAGACCATCGACAATTGATCTGATGTTTCTTGTGAAGATATACGCTTCTATGTTTTTCTTTTCTGTTGAATCCTTTATCCTCCAACGGCTACTGGATTAGCCATTTGTAACTCGACTCTCAAAACTAATTAATGCATAGAATTCCAATATTTGAAAAAACAATTTTGTAGCAAACTTCATCGACTATCTGTTGTGTAAAAGAGTATTTCATGCGATAGTTTCGTCTACAAAATATGAGGCTTACAAAATCCATAATTTAGAAAAAAAAATAGAAAAAAAGAACTTTTTAAAACAAAGAATTCTTTATCTACAGATACTGTAGATCTGTGCGAGTTTTTGTGTGACACGGATTGATAAAACGGTGTACTAGTCAGTTAGATATGTTTCGAAAGTTTTGCTATAGCTCAGAGAATTACAGACAATAAGATAGTTGATAGATCATGTAGCTACTATACAGCAGAGAAAGAGCAAGGAAGACTAGCGTGCGTTGCCGTTGCGTAAACCTTGTCACATGAGAGGTTGAAATACTATTGCTCACAGTTGCAATACATTCAGTAGGTAAATTATGCCTAACTTGAAAACGATGGTAACTGTTGGAAACGTGTCAAAAATACATGTGATGCTTTATAATTAGTTTTCCCTTATTTAGCGTTTTCTTTTTCATTGGATTACGATGTCACGTAATAGCTGCTGCTTTCCTAAAACCAATACTAGCATAAGAGAAAAAAAATTAGGCCTGTTCAAATGATTCATTTACTCTTCTTAATGCAACGGTCATAGGCTTAAACAGACTACCCTGCATAAAAAGCTGGACATTTGACAGATCTATACATACCTTTGGCATATTAGAGGGACCAATACTCGACTTCCACAGTGTTTTATCAGTAGCTCTGCTGGAACAGCAATGGGAGAAGGGGGAAGTAAAGGGTTAAACTTTCTTGTTCCTTTTTCTGACAGAAAGAGTTATACGGCCGTAAATAGCTTTAAAGTTTGTCTGTCTGTCTGCCTGTCTTTCCTAACCAATCAGAAAACAACAACCGCTCGATCGATAAGGCTAGTCTTTAATTTTCCCTAAAAATCTTTACCGAAGGTTTTTTTGGGTCGGAGAATCGAATCGCATCATTAGTTTTTGATGATTTTTGCAGAAAATTTATCTTTTACGAAAAAACACTTTTTTTTAAAAATAGTAATTTGTTTTATAAAGTTTGACCGAAGCTTTTTGGGTCGGAGAATCTAATGGTATCATTAGTTTTTGATGATTTTGCAAAAATTTTTTTTTTACCAAAAAAGGCTTTTCTAAAAAAATAATGATTTTTTATAAAGCATGACCAAAGGTTTAGGGGTCGGGGAAACGAATGGTATCATTATTTTTTCTTGATTTTGCAAAAAAAAATTTTTACCAAGAAAAGACTTTTCAAAAAATAATGGTTTTTATATAAAGTTTGACGAAAGGTTTTTGGGGTTAGGGAATCGAATAGCATTAATTTAGAAGTGACTTTGTCAGGATACAATTATTTTTAATTCACAATGAAGTACCATTCTTTCAGAAAATGGTCAGCGAATGCATAGGATGAGCGCTACTTGTGTTTAATAGTTGTCCCTAGACGACCATTTTTGTCAGAGAGTGTAACAAAGCAATACAACAACAAAAAAAATCGTCTATTTAGTATTTCGTTTTCATCGAAAAACTCCGAAATTTTTTATGAATTGCCTAATTCGAGTTATATTATAAATGAAGCTTCCACAGCATAAAATGAATTCGAAAATAAACGAAAAAATTATCCCGGCTCTTATATTTCATAAAAAAAAATTTAGAATTATAATTCGAATTATAAATTGATAAATGAGAGGGTGACTCTGTACGTTTTTAAAAAAACTTTCGAATCATAATCCCAATTATAAATTTCTAAGTCAGTGACTCAACGTGTCAGGGTATTTTGAAAAAGTTACAATTGAATTAAAACACAAATACTATGAATGTGTCTTCACTTGCTTAATTCGGCTTCAAATTAAAAAAGGAGTAGACCAATTTCGTATACATTTGCAGAAAGGAGGGCGGGACAACAAGTACAACCGAGCTGTCAGCTCATGTAAGAACCTCTTTGTATAGCATCAATTGAAACTGTATAGGTACCTGTGTCTCGCCGAACAAGGATAAGAACTATGTGAGCGTTATTCATATCTAACTACGGTAGCTGACGCTACACTGCTAATCATTTAACAAGTTCTGCTACAACGGTCCATCGCCATAGAGCACGGACCATAAATAAGAATATCATAGCGTCCTTGACCACTTCCGCTAAAGATATGAGCAAATGATTCCGTCCGGTAGCCACTGATAAACCTAGACTAGACTCTGACCACCAATCTCCATATATACAGCAAGTTTCAAACTTGAATTCAGCAGGAATTTCAAGTTTTTACTGCAATGTCCACTTCCAACGTTCCACTTTCACGCTTAAAGATTCAAATTGAAAACACTCTACACAGTCACAGCTTAGACTCATTCTGAAGAGCACAATATCACAGTTGGTGCGGACGAGGTGAAAGGAGTGTGATCAATATTCACTTACAGAAATTAACATACACCCGTTATCGCAGCTGGTGCAGGTGCGGCGAAAGCCGTTTCACCAATGTCGACTATTCAAACATTAACACTGACGCATCATCGAAGCTCGTGTGGGTGCGCTGAAAGGAATCTCATAAATGCTGACCACCACAAATTTACTCGCGCACATCACAGTAGCTGGTGTGGGTGCAGCGAAAAGATTTTCAACAATTTCGACTGACAGACATTTACCCGCGCGGACAACAGTAGCTGGTGTGAATGCGGCGAAAGGATTTTCAACAATTTCGACTTACATACATTTACCCGCACACACCACAACATTTGAAGTGGTTGCAGCGAATGGAGTTTCAACAATTTCGACTTATACACATTCGCAGGCACACGTCACGCCAGCTGGTGAGGATGCGATGCAAGGATTTTTAACAATTTCAACTTACACATATTCACTCGCGCACATCACAGCAGCTGGTGTGGATGCGGCGAAAGGAGTTTCAACAATTTTGACCTGCACAACTTTACTCGCACAGATGACAGAATGGTGTGGATATGGGTGTGTGTGTGTGTGTGTCATTGCTCTCAGTACTCATAAAAAGACCGACACCCCTCACTCACACCCACGCCGATTAAACTAAACACATATCACCTCAGAAAATTCGAACATAATGAACGAAACGTCACATATTACTGACACATATCGTAGTAGTTCCTATTCATGAATCCGAATTAATTGAACAAATAACTTCCGGGCAAAGTTCAGCTTAAGTTTCCCACTAAAACACAATGAAGCTATAATGAAAACATAAATGGAAACTAATACTTGGACGGTTCCTCTCTAATTTATAAATTTATAATTCGTGTTAAAATTGGAAATTTTTTTTTATAAACTTGCAGGCGTGACCCTCTCATTTATGAATTTTTAATTCGGGTTGTAATTGGAAAATTGTTTTTTTCTTTTTATAAACTTACACAGGTCACCGTCTCATGTATAAATTTATAATTTGACTTATAATCCGAAAATTGTTTTTCTTTATAAACGTACACGGGTCACCCTCTCGTTTATAAATTTATAATTCGACTTATAATTCGAAAATTTTTTTTATAAACGTATAGGGCTCGCTGTCTCATTAATAAATTTATAATTCGAGTTGTAATTCGAATTATAGTTTGAAAAGTTTCTTTTACTTCACTTAGAAGAGAGCTGATGCTTTTTTCGAAAATCTGATTCATATTCGAACTCGAATGAGGCATCTACCCAAGGTCTTAATGGAAAAGTATGGATTGTTTGTTTTTTGTTGTTATTTGTTCTAATGCAAAATCATACAAATGTTGGTCAGAAAATGAATACCTCTATAATAAATATCATGACTCTCAATTCAATCAATCACATCTAAGCGAAAACAAATACTAATGTATTATTTTTTCATTTCGTGCATACTTAACTTGATTGAATTTTTTATAACTCTCTAGGGTTCTCATAGCAATGGCAAGGCTTTTATAATATATGCTCGAAATGTTTCAATTGTTGTATGGTGTTGGTAGAAACGTTTTTTTTCTTCTTCAAAGAATTGAAATTGAAACTATTTAAAGTTGAACTAGATTTCATGATTCGATTTTCCAGAACTGCTTTTGATTCTAGAAGCTTCCCTTGCTACCCAGGATGTTGAAAAATAAAATAAAAATCATTTGAATGATTAGGAATTAAAAAAATGAAATTTTCACTTATATGACGGACATTTTTGATGATTATTACAAGGGAGAAATGGCATATTCCCACCGAGTTCACCTATTATCTTGAG